ATGGATACTTCGAAGGAACTTTCAAGACCTGGGTTCCACATAGATCAGCAGACGGAATAACCCTCATGATGCCTTTTGTCCACGACAAAATGGCACGTGAGGTGAACCGCGTTGTGAAGAACTCCCAACTTCCCATCCGACTTGTCTTCCGTCCTCCTCCTACCCTGAAAGATCTCTTCACATCATCCCGAATTTATGAAAATCGGTGCCACGAACAATCTTGTCGATACTGCACATCAGAGAAGATCTGTGAACTCCAAGGCACCGTTTATCTTGTTCAGTGCAGAGGATGTGGAGAAAAATACGTGGGGGAAACGGCAAGACCTTTGAAGATTCGACTGGACGAGCATAGGAGAGCGTTGGCCAATCCCGCCGCTTATCCTCATAGCAGCTTCTCCAGACACCGTACGTTGAGACATGAGAATGAGGACGCTCCATCTTTCAATGTGAGCGTTCTGCATAGACATTTGGTACGGCCACTGGAAAGAAAGATCATGGAAGCGCGGGAAATACATCGAATCAGGCCAGAAATTAACAAAAAGGAAGAGTTACGTGACCTTTTGAGACTTCTTACGTAATCAATGAAGTCCTTCCCTCGGGGATGATGTCTCATTTTTTCACTCGTTCCCGACCCTCATAGGTCCCCTCCGTACTCCCTTATCCTGGTATGTCGATGTATCGTGTTTAATTGTATAAGAACAGTTGATCAGTCGCAAGTATTGTAATTTTAAGATTGGTCTGATGATGGCATTATTGCCGAAAGCTTGCCAATAAAGTGTAAGAGTGGAAGAGCTTCAAGAACATTCAATCTACGATCCAGAATCAAATGAAGCTCAGAGATAGCAGCATTTTGTCATATTTAATATATTTCACATTGGAGCCTTTTCAGGAACTATACGTTTACTTCTATATGATGCTTTCACTTCACTTGTTCGTGATTGGCTCCAGCTCACTACAGCCACGGACAGATAGTTATTTGCACTCAACATTTCACATTGTAAGAAAGCCTTAGGGGTTCAGTTAATGAGGCACTCTTTTCCAGTGAGTGTTAAGTCGACGATAAAATCTAGAATGCATTAGGTTCTCCTCAAGGGCTCAATTCAAATTGCATTGAATTACAGAGTGGGTCTCATATTCTTGCATTATAGAGCGAAAAACTGGAAACAATGTTTCACAGGGTACTGAGTCATGGACAAAACTTCCGCCAAATAAGAGATTCGAAACCGCAAACTCTCGCTTAGCGGGCAAGGGCGCTACGAGTTTTTGTGAACCTTCCACAAAGCGAACTGCAAGTGTTATACAGCAGGTAACCAACGCGAACAGGTCAAAGTTAATAAAGAATAACTGCTGGACCATGCAAACATCAAAGCCTTCAAGCGCATATTTGATATACCCGCCGCTCAGGAACTTCATTAGTGCGGAGGTTTTGAATTTTCCACTTGCATCCTAATTCGTTAGCGGAACTGTGTTGCAAGAGGATTTTTATCGTTGAAGTGTTTTTCAGTGTACTCTTTCCGTAGTTGTGCACACCTTTGAGTGTATCGAAACAAATAAATAAAGAGGAGCTCACCTGACTTTGACTCAAGAGACTATCAGTGAACTGAAATTGTTTGGTAACGGTTACGGTAATTGTTTGGTAACCCAACAATAGCGCAAAAAACAATAAAAAGCGGTGTGTATAAGCAGATATCGAATTCTTGAGCTGACGCCCTGAAGTGAGTGGTGTGGTACGTACTGTGATGCATTCTATTTTCTTGACGACTAAACGCTACAGTATGCGCTGCGACTCGTCCTTTGCCGCGTCTGCGTACGCAGACGTCCTACGCCGTGCGACGGGCCTCTTGGGGGTCTCCTAACCCACTATATGATCGAGCAATATCACAACACGTATCCCTGCGAATGACATCGGAACTTGCGCAACAGCTGTAATACAAACGATATTCAAACAATCCACAGAAGGTAGGTATCAGGGCCAGTGTCCATCTCGGTAAATTTTGTTTGCATATTTGTTGCGGCCTTTCAATGAATTTCAAGGTCAATGGTGCCAAGCTTTTACTTGCGCCTTGACAGAGTTTGGCGTCATCTTTGATCCGCTTTTCAGGTATTTCAAGCATGCAGAGAACGCCGTTAAAGGAATCCTCTGCTCACGATAAGAACTAAACAAAAAATTGAAAAAATTGTTCCGATAGACAACTCAAAAACTAGAAGGATTGCTCCGCGTTCAAACTCGGACATCTGTCACGAATCTGGCGGTGAGAACGGTTTTGCTGTTCACGACGCGCTGTCACTATAAACTCTTTTTGACCTTTTGATTCATTCCGCTAACATCTCACACTTCTCTGCATCCTATTCTATCGATCGTTTTGTCTATTCTCCAAAATCGCACGCTTTAACCCGATTCTTTCAATGCGTCGCCTGATACGTAGCCGCCAAGGCGCACTTCTTTCCATGCCCCGCCTTTGGCTCCGCGCGACCTACCTTCGACTGTCCATAGAGTGTGGTATTCGTAAGTTTGACTCCTTGAACTGAATCTTGGTGCGTGAAACTTTGTATGTTCTCTTCATTGATCACAACCGATTTAATTACGTTTGGAAAGAAAAGAAGAGTTTGGGAAAGGATTCCTTCAACAAGCCTTCCCGGAATCTTTCCGATTTCGTGAAGTTCACAAGTTTAATGCAATTAATTCTTGTGCGCTTATGTAAGTCTTGTACTTCACTCGTATTTGAAATGTTGCTCACAGGTGTGGAACCCTGTCCTAAAAAGTCAGATTATGGCTAGAGCTGCTTTCTGGAATATTTCCCTGATGTTTATTGACTCGACTTGAAAAGATGTTCAAGAATTTCCTGTATCATAAATATTAGGTTGTCCCATAATTAGTGAATCACTTTACATTTATTGTTATTAAAAATCCAAGAAAAATGGTGAAGGCGTGAAACATGTTTTGCGAAGTAGCATCCACATTGTCCTACTTGAGCAATTACTCAGCCCATTTCCATGCTGCCTTCCGTGGCTGATATTTCAATTTTTCTGGAACCTATTTTTGAGCTCCCTTCTTAATCACTTCTGATTAAGATCTTTCAAACGCCCAACAATATAGAGAATCGACCAGCAGATAGGCAAGGGCACGCTCCCTCACTCCACGGTCTGCTTATAGTTCACTCTATCGAGAGGTTGGCTTTTTTAGTTGAAGATGACCCACACTCCAACTACCCCTCAACTGGCAATCTCAGTGCTGTACCCAGCGCCACTAAGCGTGGATATGGACAACTAGTCGCCATTTGCTAGAGCATGCCCGACTTGTTAAAATGATGGAATGTAGACATCTACGTAGAGTTGTAAAGATTTTAAAATATTTAGTTTGTATCTTGTATGCTTGAGCCCGAAACAGCTCCGCACACGATCTGACATCATCATGTTCCTTCTGATCTCCCTTAGTTCCTTACAGTGATCATCCAGCATATTCACCAGGGTTCTGGACTGCGTGAAGTGTACTAGCAAATCTCCGAGGAGCAGTAGCCCAGCGTGAACGATTCGGGAGTTCTGATAGCAAAAGCCAAACCTCATTCTAGTCCGACCCTTCAGAGATATTGGTGGAGCACGAGAGTGACCATGCGCTGGGAACCGCCGCCTAGTAATACTAGAGTCACTGAAGAAGATCAACATCTACAGCGTAATGGCGGCGCATTCAATTTGAAAGTAAAGCAAGACAAAGTCTGCTTTTTTCCTGAGGTCGTTCGACCCACCTTGCGGAGAATATTCATAAAAAATTAGAGACTCTCAAGCTAGCCGATTCTTCCACTTCCTCTGTGTGGCCCTATCCTCGTGCCAACAAGAGGCAACTCAGTCTTGACCTCTAGCGCTCTTCCCCAGGGAGGAAATTTTACGCTAAGTGACATGACCTCAAACTCGACTTCCGATCTTTCTTCGATCAATAGCTCCTGGATTTCTAGAGATAAGACAGCGACAAAATTTCCCTGTATAGGCAATACATTGTAGATGACAGGGATGTATGTTTGGATGAGCAAAGACTCCATATGAAAAAGAAAAAAATTTGAATTCAAAAATACCCAAAGTGATTCACTAATTATGGGACAACCTAATATAAACAAACGAGTAAGGAATATTGGTAGTGAATTTGTTTTCGCTCTTGCACTCTGTATGACGACGGACAAGCCTAAAGATAAGAGCAATTTCAGAATATTCGGGCCATGCAGTGATCAATAACTTCGCGTTGTATTCAGGGGGATGTGCAATGGACCTCTCCTCAACTTTAAATTCGCTCTCTCTTAAAGCGAGAAAATAAATACGACGTGTTGAGCAAGGCTGGACAAACCTTTTCGTGAAACGCATTTACATGCAGCACGCGCTGAGGTATAAACCCTAAATTGAGGAAAATTGACACGCAACAACTGAGGCAGTAGTCGCATATCTTCCTGTTTGCATAATCGAACTTACGATTTCTTTTCACTTTCATCTCCTTGATCTAAATGAATCTATAACCATATTAACATCACCATATATAGCAGATAACTTTCACTTTGGTAGTTGTTCAACCTCTGTTGCTTGATCTAGTAGTCAACATATTCCCAAAGATTTATTAGACATAAATAGCTATTCTGACACGAGGACACATCTTACTAGGCTCTGCTGAAGTATCAGACAGATCGGTTCAATGAGTGCTCGTGTCGCTGTACGAATGATGCTCCACCTGCTCCTAATTACGAGTGGGCTCTCGCCTGATAGTTGTTCTGTGATATTATGGCTTTTCTGTTGTGCAGCGCTGTTAGAATCGCGCTGATAGAGTCAAAAAACGATCCTTGGCATGTTTTCCATTCTTGGACTGCGTGCACTGCGGAAAGGACTCGTTATTATATTCTTTTACTTTGACTTTTACTTTTCATTCGTGTCTTCTTCATTCTGCTTTTTGGTGCTCAGTAACCGTGTTGGTTTTATATGATCATAAAAAATAAATAATATATTATTCGAAGGAATCGTTTTCACGGACACATAGCAAAGCGAAAATAGTAGCTTACTTGCAGTAGTTGTGAGTGGAGTCGCCGAGTCTGCTCAGACATAGTCGTATTTGTCCCAAGAGCGGAAATAATAAGTTTTCTGAGGATAGCAATAGCGAAGTAAACGGGAAAAGGCTGCAATGCCATGTGAAGGTCAGAAACTAGCGTTTTCCATTGCAGCATATTAAGGTGGGCGTTCACACATTCCAAATTCTTTCCATGATCAGACCTCTGCTTGTCTATGGAGCTCACGTCTATTGCGTCTTTGGTAGCAACACAGACCAAGATCTGCAAACATCAAAATTTTTCATTCTCTGCTCAGGTCAGTGGAGAGCTCAGAGAGCTTTCACAGAAGCATAAACTCCGAAAACGGTCTACGATTTCTGAATCACTTTGGACTTGATACAATTAAATTTTCGGAAACCTCGATTTTTTGAACATGCCGCGCGGTCGTTCCATTTCGTGGTCCACTTACGAAGTATGGCGACTTAAAAACACCGAGGTTCGAGTTTCCCGATCCCACACGCCGCCGTGATCTTGTCGGTTTCTCATCGTTTCTCAATTCTATATCTACAGTGACTCCCGAAAAAGCTGAAATGTGGGAGCTGTGCACAAATCGATCCCCAAGAAGCACCAGCCTAGCTCCACCTCAAAGGAGGTCAAACTTCATTAACAATTTGCCTTCAGAAATCATGACATAATAGGAACTGGATATTGGGAAGTCCGACCATCTGATACCAATGTCCATGCCACATTAGGGAGGCACCAATTTGATCGCGATGCTCCCAAGTTGGGAGAAAATGAGGAAGGTCTAGATCCCAGTGGTATCACTGCCCCAAGCTGATACCACAAATCAAGGCTATCGAAGACTCTCGACAGGTCTGTTCTATCCAGTTCCTAACCTTGGATTACCCGGTCTCGAGGAAGACCAGCCGTCTTGCCACTAGCCAGCTCCTTCGTCATATCCTATACTAACCAAAAAATTTCAAGGCAAGCGATCAAGCGCTTCGCGATTAGAGGTGCATGTAATACGAGAGATATCATGCGTGTGCAATATCCTTAATACATATAAAACGCTATGTTTGTTTATGTGTGTACCACTGAATTCATAGCACGCATCGCAGCAGTGGAGGGACGTTGGTTCCTGCCATTGTGGGAAATTGGAACGAAGACACAGATTGTGGATGATCCAAAGTGATAACTACTGATAAGAGCTAATAAGGAGGGGCAGACTGTGGCTACCACCAATTTCTTTGCGCCCTTTGCAGTAAGGGTGGAAGTGGTATA